CATTGTAATTTTGTGGGACAGAGAAAGATAATGGAAAAATGGAACAACAGCACCTCCCCATGGCTGGAGTCAAGCACAGTCTCCATATGCCAGATATGAAAAAGAGGGAAGCCTTGCCTTTGTCTATGTCCTATCTGTCTTTGTTGTTAATTGTATAACAGCATTGAATGAATGCCATATATGTATTCTGTAATCCGCTCAGAGTCCCCTCGGGGAGACAGAGCGGAATATAAATAAAGCATGTTGTTGTTGTTGTTGTTGTTGTTGTTGTTAATGGTCTTGTAAAACTATAACTCCCACAATGCCACAACATTGAGCCATGGCAACTAAAGTGGTGTCACTATTAATTCTACTGCATAGATGTAACCTTGGACATCCTCACCAAAAAGAAGGAAAGGATTCCACAAAGGATTTTTCAATAGTCAAGAGAGACTGACTCACTACCATTGAGATCAGTCGGACTTGCTTTTTCAGGTAAGGGAGTGTAGTGTTGCAGTCCAAAACTCTTAAGGCAGCCTTCCCCAACTTGCTGTTCTTCAGAGGTTCGGAACTTCACTTCCCATTTATTACCCATGTTGGTCAAGATAGCCGATACTGATAGGGATGGCAATTGAGCTTTGGAAGGCTGTGGACACATCAGAATTAACCATTTAATGCTGCTCGAGGCTAGCTTCAAACTGTGGCAGCCAGTCAACAGATTCTCACAAAAGTGTGTGAAAGGAAGTCCTTAATGTGTGTCAAGAGGATCTTTCCATTTGGTATTATTTCTTTTTTGTGTCAGGAACGACTTGAGAAAATGCAAGTCGCTTCTGGTGTGAGAGAATTGCCCATCTTCAAGGACATTGCCTGGGGTCACCCAGATGTTTTACCATTCTGTGGAAGCCTTCTCTCATGTCCCCACATGAGAAGCTGGAGCTGACAGATGGGAGCTCACCCCACTCTCTGGATTAAACTGCCAACCTTTCGGTCAGCATTCCTGCCAGCACAAGGGTTTAACCCACTGTGCAACCAGAGGCTCCCTGATTTGGAATGATAAAACTATCCATCCTTCCAACAGAGCAATGAATTTCCTTGGAAAGTGAAGTTTACAACCCAACTTAAAGGTTATCCAAAGGTGCATCCGCATTGTAGAATTAATGCATTTTGAGACCATTTTCACTGCTATGGCTCAGTGCTATGGGGGTAGCAGTTTTACAAGATTTTGAGCCTTACTTGCCAAATTCCATAGCATTGAAACACAGCAGTTAAAGTGGTCTCAAATTGCATTGACTCCACAGTGTAGATCAGGCATGGGGAAACTTGGCCCCTCTGGGTGTTTTGGACTTCAACTTCCACCATTCCTAACAGCCCCATGCCCTTTCCTTTTCCTCCTCAGTTGCTTAAGTATCTGAGGAGGAAAAGGAAAGGACCTGAGACTGTTAGGAGTTGTGGGAGTTGAAGTCCAAAACACCTAGAGGGCCCAAGTTTCCCCATGCCTGGTGTAGATGCACACCAACACTTCTGAATATGAACAAATATTTGACACAGGGCAGATTAACTGAGACTTCACAATCCTACGATTGGTTCCATCCAAAATCGAAAACAAAACATTCCCCTGCTAATCCAGTTGGTTTCCCCCTCAAGTATTTATCTTTGATCCACCCATGATCCTATAAATCCTGTGTTAATGCACTGGAGCTGGGTCCCAATGCAAGTCTGAGGGCTGGCGCTCTCCAGCTAAAACATTCCTTCTCTCTGGAGTGATTTATAGGCTTCACAAGGCAAGAGGGGAGGGCAGAGGGGGCAGCTAAGCAGTGAAAAACCCAAGCGGAGTTTGGGAGCCTCAGCAAATCAATTTCATCCAGAAAAACATCAGGAAAAGGCAGAAGGAGGAGTGGAAGGAAGGAAAGTTCTTTGAAAGAGATGCAGGTGTTTTAGCCATAGGCTCCCTCAGAACAGGACATTCCCGAATTATAGGAGAGCGCTCCAGCAGTCGCTCCAAAGGAACCAACGTCCTGCTTGGCTCTTCCAAAAAAAAACACATCTGAAGGAACTGAAAAAATGCATGGAGAAAAATAACACTATGCAACACGATTTTTGTCCCTGGGTTATAAATGCCATTTCCTAATTGGTTCTATTATAAAAACATGGAAAAAGTTTATTAAACTGCAAATAAACTTTGTTTTTGTGAGACATTCTGCAGCACATTTTCCTCTAGTTTTTCAATGACTATCTCATCAAGTCTTAACCAATTCAGCATGGGTTGCTGTGAGTTTTCCAGACTGTTTGGCCATGTTCCAGAAGCATTCCCTCCTGATGTTTCACCTGCATCTATTGCAGGCGTCCTCAGAGGTTGTGAAGTCACATCCCTGAGGACGCCTGCCATAGTTGCTGGTGAAACGTCAGGAGAGAATGCTTCTGGAACATGGCCAAACAGCCTGGAAAACTCACAGCAATCCAGTGATTTTGGCCATGAAAGCCTTTGACAATTCAGCATGGTTTGTGGCAAGCACAAAAATGAAGTTTCTGGAGTATAACAACTCCTTTCAAAGTAAGTACTGCACAAGTAAACAGGAACAACACTTTCAAACCAGGAACAGGATTGGGTTGCTGTGAGTTTTCTGGCTGTATGGCCATGTTCCAGAAGAATTCTCTTCTGGCGTTTCGCCCACATCTATGGCAGGCATCCTCAGAGGTTGTGAGGGTCTCACAAAGCCTATAAATCACTCCAAACCTCACAACCTCTGAGGATATTTGCCATAGATGTGGGCAAAATGTCAGGAAAGAATGATTCTGGAACATGGCCATACAGCCCAGAAAACTCACAGCAACCCAGTGATTCTGGCCATGAAAGCCTTCGACAACACAGAGAACATATTTTTTCAAATTTTGTTACATAGTGTAATCCACACCCTGCCACACACTGAATGTGATTGAAGGCAGCTTTCCCAAATCCTACATTCATCCCAGATGTGTTGGGCTACAACTCCCATTGTCCCCAGCCAACATGTAAACTATACTTTCTCATGGTTCCATAGCATTGGGTTTTGGTGGTTAAAGTGATGCCACAGTCCGTATATGCCATTTGTCTAGCCCACCATTAATGCCATTTAAGAAACAGTATTTGAAAAAATGAGTTTTGTAAACTGCAGACACTGGACTTCGTGAAGCTCTGCAGACACCCCAAGGAAGGGTGTGTCCTCGAATAAACAGAATACAAAGATATTTGCTTAAATGAAGCTGAATAAGATGTAATATCTGAATCTGAAATCGTCAGGGTCAGCTATGAACTCCCAACAAAGGATGTGCCCAGGCAGGAAACAGCCAGGCTTTGAAGCTTCAAAGCCATTTAAGGATCTGATACAAGGGGTGGGGCTGAAGGCTTTCATGGCTGGAATTACTGGGTTGCTGTGAGTTTTCCAGGCTGTGTGGCCAAGTTTCAGTCTTTGAAACTGCAAGGCCATTCAGTGCTAATCAAGGTGGCCAATTGCAACATTCACGCCTCAAGCAGACAAGTCTCCCACCCTGGACATTCTACTGATATATAAACCTACCTTGCCTAGTTTCCAACAGACCTCACAACCTCTGCAGATGCCTACCATAGATGTGGGTGAAATGTCAGGAGAGAATGCTTCTGGAACCATGGCAATGCAGCCCGGAAAGACTCTCAGCAACCCAGTGATTCTGGATATGAAAGCCTTTGGCAACATGAGCTTATCCTTTCCTTTTTAGGGCCCTTCTGAACAGCCATTTAACCCAGGATATCAAGGCAGAATAACCCACATTATCTGCCTTGAACTGGGTTATCTGAGTTCACACTGCCATATATCCCAGTTCAAAACAGATAATGTGGGATTTTATTCAGCTGCATGGAAAAGACCTGAGGGCCCTTCCACACAATCCTATATCTCAGAATATCAAGGTAGAAAATTCCATATTATCTGAGTGTGAACTCAGATAATATCAAGGCAGAAAATCTCACACTATCTGCTTTGAACTGGGTTATCTGAGCCCGCACTGCCATATATTCCAGTTCAAAGCAGAAAATGTGGGGCCACACTGCATTCTGGGGTGTATCTACACTGCAGCTTGACCCCACTTTAGCTCCCATGGTACCATTCTATGTGATCATGGATGTTGTAGTTTGCTGAGATACCAGTACTCTTGGCAGAGAAAGCTTTAAAAATATGGCTCAAAATCAGGGGACTTATAGTTTTACAAGTTCCTGTGTTCTCTGCCTTGACAAACTACAACTCCCACAATCGCACAGAATTGAGCCATGGCAGCTGAAATCATGGGACTGATAGTTTTACAATATTCTGCTTTCTCTGTTGGTGCCTTGCCAAACTACAACTCCCACAATTGTATAGAATTGAGCCATGGCAGCTGAAATCATGGGACTGATAGTTTTACAAGATTCTGCTTTCTCTGTTGGTGCCTCGACAAACTACAACTCCCACAATCACATAGAATTGAGCCATGGCAGATCAAAAGTGTTGCCAGGCTGAGATAAAGGTACAGAGGGGGTTGAGGGGATCTCCTTCCATCCCTTTTGCTTTGAAGCAGACTCCACCTCAGCTGTCAAAGCAAGGAGGCCTGGGGCAAACATTGCAGCCAGAATTCCTGCCCTTGACTGCAAGCTCAACTTGTATCAACACATACAGCTGCTACCTAGCTCGTCCATCCCTGCAAGGCAGAAGAAGTCTATAGGGAAAGACAAACAGATAGATCACAGGGTGCAAGAGACAAGGACCAATGAGAAAAATCTTTCTATGGATCAAGTTTGGGCCAACTTGGGCCCTGCAGGTGTTTTGGACTTCAACCCCCACCATTCCTAACAGCCTCAGGTCCCTTCCTTTTCCCCCTCAGCCGCTTAAGCGGGAAAAGGAAGGGGCCTGAGGCTGTTAGGAATGGTGGGAGTTGAAGTCCAAAACACCTGGAGGGCCCAAGTTGGCCCAGGCTTCGTCTACACACTGTCTCATTAATGCGCCTGGAGGGCTCTGGAGTGAGGGAGGGCGTACCTGGTGCCGCCGAGGAAGCCAAGTGGATGAGGAGCGCCAGGAGCCCGAGAGCCGCCCAGGAGGAGAGCCAGGCGCCCCGCGGAACCAGCGCCGAGGCAGCCATGGAGCCCGAAGGAGAGAGCGGCAGAGAGGAGCGCCAAAGGCAAGGCAAGTCTTCTCTGGGAAGCAGCAGAGCTCAGCCCCGTCGGTGCTCCTCACCGCCGCCGCCGCCGCCGCGCCTCTTCATCGCCCGCGCTGTCCTCACTTCGCTCCTCTATCAGCTCTTTCTCGCGGCCTCCGTTCTCCCCCTCGTGGCCGACCGCGGTATTGCATCCTCCGCAAAGGCGCCCCTTTTTTTTCGTGTCAGGAGCGTCTTGAGAAACTGCAAGTCCTTTCTGGTGTGAGAGAATTGGCCGTCTGCAAGGACGTTACCCAGAGGACGCCGGGATGTTTTGATGTTTTACCATTCTTGTGCAGGCATATAGCCAGGGGAGGGGGTGGGCTTGAGGGGCTTCAGACCCCCCCCCCCCAAATTTTCAGGGTGGCCCGCGAGAAGGCCTTACTGGTACATTATTTAAACTGTTATGTTTATGCATATCATGATCTGATTACCATTCTCTATTTATCCCATATGCATGTGGGTACTGGGATAACGATAGGAAAGGTTCGCTAGGGTAGATCCTCAGCCCCCCTGAATCAAACTAACCCCCCCCCCCCGAATCAAAATCAGCCCCCCTGAATCAAACTCACTCCCCCACCCCCACCCCCGAATCTAAATCCTGGCTACAGGCCTGTTTTTGTGGGAGGCTTCTCTCATGTCCCGCATGGAGAGCCGGAGTTGACAGAGGGAGCTTATCCGCGCTCTCCCCGGATTCAAACCTGCGACCTGTCGGTCTTCAGTCCTGCCAGCACAACTACTGCAACTACATTTCTCATGATTCTGCCATGGCTCAATGCTATAGAATCATAGGATTGTAGTTTGGTGGACCATCAGCCTTGACTGACAGAGAAGGCTAAAGGTTACAACTACAGATTACAACTAAAGACTACAACTACAGCTCTCATGATTCTGCCATGGCTTAATGCTATGAGGTCATGAGAGTTGTAGTTTGGTGGAGGATCAGCATTCACTGGCAGAGAAGGCTAAAGACTACAATTCCCATGATTCTGCCATGGCTTAATATTATGAGATGATGGGAGTTGTAGTTTGGTGGAGCCTTAGTATGTAATGTCAGTGAAGGCTAAAGACTACAAACCTCCCATTATTCTGCCATGACTCAATGCTATGGGATCATGCAAGTTGTAGTTTGGTGGAGCCTTAGTATTCAATGGCAGAGAAGGCTAAAGACTACAACTACACCTCCCATTATTCTGTCATGATTCAATGCTATGAGATCATGGGAGTTGTAGTTCAATGGAACATCAGTATTCACTGGTAGAGAAGGCTAAAGACTACAACTACATCTCTCTCGATTCTGCCATGGCTCAATGCTATGGGGTCATGGGAGTTGTACTTTGGTTGAGCATCAGTAGTCACTGGCAGAGAAGGCTAAAGACTACAACTACAATTCTGCCATGGCTCATTACTATGGGATCATGGGATTGTAGTTTGGTGGACCATCAGTATTCACTGACAGAGGAGGCTAAAGATGACAACTACACCTCCCATGATTCTGCCATGGCTCAATGCTATGGGATCATGGGTGTTGTAGTTTGGTGGAGGATCAGCATTCGCTGGCAGAGAAGGCTAAAGACTACAACTACACCTCCCATGATTCTTCCATGACTCAATGCTATGCGATCATGGGAGTGGCAGTGTGGTGGAGCATCAGTATTCACTGGCAGAGAAGGCTAAAGACTACAACTACACTTCCCATGATTCTTCCATGACTCAATGCTATGCGATCATGGGAGTGGCAGTGTGGTGGAGCATCAGTATTCACTGGCAGAGAAGGCTAAAGACTACAACTGCCGTTCCCATGAGAGGGAGAGGAAAGGGCCTGAGGCTATTAGGAATTGTGGGAGTTGAAGTCCAAAACACCTGGAGGGCCAAAGTTTGCCCACGCCTTGGCTACAGTCTCAGTCCAGCACTGAAACCGCTACACAACACGGCCTCTTTTGTATTGGGTAGCATTAAGAACTGACAGCCCCTCCTCCTCCTTTGCTCATTCTCTGAAACAATATGGTCAAGAATTCTCTGGCCGCCACCTCCGTCTCTGTAATGTGAGGAAAAGTTGGATGAGTTCTTCAGATTCCTGTGTCCTCAGCCCTTTCCAGTTCTAACCCAACAGCGCCAGTGACTCCGGATCCTGTTTTTCTCTTAGAAATTAATTCCATGCATCTCAAGTCCCTTTTTTCTGTAATAAGGCAGGACTGCGGTGACCATGCAGTAGCAAACAGAAACTCAACAGGGTCTGCCCACAAAAATACATTACTAGCAGTTTCTTTTTCAAAAAATGTGTTTATTTAAACTCCTGGTTCCAATTTTTTGTTTTTACCAAAGCCTTCCCCAGTCTCAGCCCACAGATGTTTTACTGCAGTTGCCATCAGTGGCACTTATTAAGCACAATGGGTACTAGAGTCCAATTCATCCAAAGAACAGCAGATTGGGCAAAGAAAGTATATTGTATAGCTCTACCTCAATTAACAAAGGAAATGAGTTCTTGCGCATTATTTTAACAGAAAATTTGGATAGCAGAAGTGACAGAGAAGAAATTGGTGTAGGTCCCTACAACAGAGAAAAGCAGTTTAACACATATCCTTGAAGTGCCTAGCTTGGCCTTGAAGGAGGTGGGGGTGGACACGACAAACAGGGAACCCTGGCATGGGCTGGTCCATGAGGTCATGAAGAGTGACTGAACAAATAAACAACACATTTCAGCCAAATTTGTATTCCAAACAATATGTGCATGTGAAAGGAAAGAACCAGATAATCCTTGTCTAACTAAAGAAAATATGTTGAACCTTTCAGAGATCACTTGAAGGCATCTTCCAAAATGCATGCCAGGATGACCTTTTCTTTCAGCAGGCTCCACATTTCCTAAGATTTTCAATTTGGTGGCCAGTCTTATAGATCTATACTTTTAGCCAACAGGCTAAGCCAATCTGGTCTCCTTTTTTTGTTTTTGTTTTGCCCTACATGCACATCAAGTAAAGGATTCTGGAGTCAGCTACTTTTTACCTTGCCTGTTGCAAGCGGACAGGCACAGGTAGTAGGGCTGTTAAAAAATAATCTCAGTTCAACCTTTATTGCATTTATTGCAGAGGCATTGCTGAAACCCAATACTGCAGTCTATGTTTCCACAGCCCTCCTTCACCATCCCAATGTCAATGCTGCTAGAAATACTTCCAGACAGACAGAGGATGAGGACAAAAAGGGAGACTGGGCAGACCTAAACAGTAAAAATGAGCCTCATTATTAATGGCTTTGTTAAGTGAGGTATTCCTTTAATACCTTTGTTAATCCAATGAGAAATTGAGAAATAATAGTAATAATACTAAAACTTTTATTTGTATACCGTTGTATCTCCCCAAGGGGGCTCGGAGCACAATAACAGTGCAAACTATAAACAATAATTATTAAGATAAACAACAAAATTAACTTAAATCAACAAAAAGCAATGCAAGATAATAATAAAACAACATTTGTGTGTGTGTGTTAAGAGTGACGAGAAACTGCAAGTCGCTTCTGATGTGAGAGAATTGGTCGTCTGCAAGGATGTTGCCCAGGGGACGCCCAGATGTTTGATATTTTATCATCTTTGTAGGAGGCTTCTCTCATGACCCCCCATGGGGAGCTGTAGCTGACAGAGGGAGCTCATCCGTGCTCTCCTCGGATTCGAAACTCCAACTTGTTGCTCCTCAGTCTTGCCGGCACAAGGGTTTAAAACACATTGCGCCACTGGAGTAATTGACACAACAATATCATCATGAAAGAGAGGCCCTCCAAAAAAAAATAGTAATGACGTAGGCAGTTTGATAATGGTTGTACTGGGGAATTAAATATCTAAGGGTGAATGGCTTCCCATTTCAGTGCCCTCCTTCATGTGATGTGCAACATACTTTACATGTGACGCTTAAACTAAGAATTTGGGAAGTAAGGATTTTAACCAACCTGATCACTACAATGTAACAACAAACCATGGCAAATTAAATCCTCTTTCTGATGCAACAGTTACACACTGTGTAACAGCTCTCCCCTTGCTTTTGTGCCTCAGCATCTTCTACTTGAGTCAACCACCTCATTCTGCCCAGTGGTTGGACTGGGCCTACCTTGTATATTCTTGTCACACCATCAGATTCTCATCCTTCCTTTCTGATGTATATTAGATAGATACTTCCGGTGTGCACTGGGTGCTTCTTCTGAATACTGGAGCTCCCATTGTGCTCTGGCACTTCCTGATGCTTATTAAATGCTTATTCAGATGCTTATTAAAGAATGCCCCATGCACACTGGTACCATGATGCACCAAGGCTATGGCACATCAGTCACTTCATTAGCTACCATGACATAATAGCCCTTCATACATTGTAACATCATGGCTGCCCCCAGGCGAATATGTGTATTTCAAAATATTTACTTCGGTTTTGCCTGCAAGTAAAACCATTGACAAAGACATATATCCCAGGCAGAATGCCAGACTGATTCAGCAACAAAAAAACATATCAACATAATAACACTATTGAGAAAAATGTGCTGAATTGATACATAGTGGCATGCTCACTTGCCTCTAACACAGTGTTTCGCAACCTGGGGTCCCCAGACGTTTTTAGCCTACAGCTCCCAGAAATCTGAGCCAGTTTACCAGTTGTTAGGATTTCTGGGTGTTGAAGGCCAAAAACATCTGGGGACCCCAGGCTGAGAACCACTGCTCTAACATAATACATCACAATCAACCCTCTTTTGCAAGGATAGAGAAAAAGTTGGGCCACTTCCAAACACACGCTTTGCCTGGTGAGATGCATTTTAAACAGACTCTGCAGCCCTCAAAGGATGCATATGTGTGTCTTCATGTTTCCTGTCAACCTATGGTGATCCTGTGCACTTCATAGGGTTTTCTTATGCAAGGAATACTCGGCTTTGCCATTCTTTCCTCTAAATTCTAAAAAATAGCTGACAACACCTGTTACCCTTGACTGTCTCCTCTCCAAGTATTTACCAGAGCTGGCCTTGCTTATGCTTAGCGTCCATGATCAGGCAGGATCTCGTGTCTTTCAGGTTC